ACAAACAACAACAACAACCAAAAAAACCCCTTAAAATCCTGAAAACAAACTGCTGCCAAATTTGTAGGTTTTTTTTTTTAGTCTAGTTATTCAAATTGGTAATAACTACACCTGAGAGCTGGACTACTGGCCTTCCAGCAAATGGATATGTCTTTAAGGCTAATTAATTACTTAGAACTGCGGAGGTCACATACTACAAAAAGTTTGAGAGTCTGTCACACTTTTTCTTTTCAAATTTTATCACTAGTTTCAAGGAAAAAATGCACATTTATCATTTGTATGGGCTTCCAGTCTCCCCCTTGCTCTATGGTTTAGTTTGAAAGCCAACATATATATTTTTTGATGCCCATGGCATTGTCTGCAGGACTTATTAAGCTGCACTTCTTACATCTGAGCAGTATCAGAGATCAAGCAGTATTAAAAGTCCCATGCGACCTGACGAGCCCCAGTGCTCATATGGAAGAAGAGAAGGAAAATTCTGTATAAACTTCCAAACAAATCCTGCTCATATAACCTTCCTCATATAAGCTTTCTCATTTATTTTTTCGGAGCGGGATTCTTCCAACATCACTTATGCCAAATAGGAATCCTTGCTTTGAGTTGCCCCACTCAAGGCAACAATTCACAGAATGAAGTGTTAGGTTAAGATAGCACTTGGTACTCAGCCTGCTTCACAACCAGGTCTCTCCCCTGTCTTGTGAAGGAAATACCGTGTTGTCAGAGTTTAATAGATTATAATGTGACTTCAAATTGCCTTGATTTATGAGTAAATGGAGAGTGTATTCCTGAGATTGCAGCTATCAGTTTTTCTTTACTTGGAAAAATATGTGTTGATCTTGGAGCTGCTCTTTTCTCTTAGTGTAAAAAGTCTGGAGAAAAGAAATCATGGCCTTTGTGGTTAAAGTGTTGAGTGGAACTCTGGAGACCTTGATTACAGCCCTGTACACTATTATATAAATCACTCACTGCATTTTTTCATCGGTGAAATAGGACACATCTTCCTTTTTCTTGAGACTTCAATTGCTGGTTTGCTTTGTGATGTGAAGCCTCCAACGGATGCAAATCTGACCTGAAAGTGATTTATTTTATTATCCATGTCAAAAGTTTTATCAGAAACCTTATGATAAGAGGAGGGACAAAGGATATTGTTACTGGGTACCTGCTTATGTGTCTCAGCAGTGATGGATTTAAGATGTTACCAGCCAGCACTGGGAACAGCAATTATGCAAACTTGCTGTAAGGTGTTTTTTGGATCTCACATTATTGTCTCTTTGCAGGACATCATCCAAGCCTACAAGAGTGGCATAACCCTCCAGGGAAACTCCACTAGTCTGGGCAGGTGGGACTTCAGTGGATCTTTTTTCTTCTCCATCTCCACAATAACAACCATTGGTAAGAATGCCCTGCTGCTCATAGGTGGCCTCACAGGAGCAGAAATGAGGACCTGTATGATTAGACCAGTCCTATGAAGCTTTAGTTAGGTTCTCTATTCTGTGCCATAGATATGCAGACAAGAATGTAGCTCTAAGAATTAACAGTCATTTGTCAGTACTAGTACAGAATGATTGTAAATAATTGGAGGTAGAGATAGATATGTATGCAGCTCGGTACATATCCCCACTAGCATTTACACAGCTTGCAGAGCCTGCTGTAGTACCCCTTCATGCTACCACAGTACTCTGTAGTTTTCTGTATCTTTTCCAAATCCAGTTCTTTCTTTCAAATTTAAGACGAATTGTGTATTGAATGCTGCTTATATTGGATGAGAACCTGGAAACTTGTTAGGGTGAAGGTCCGATATCTGGATAAATTAAACAGTTCAGTTGAGTCAGGTTTCTTAAAGTGTCTAATGAAAAGCAGTGAATGAAGAGTGTAAATAGGAAAAAAAAAAAGATTCAGGAATAGTGTTAGTTATGGTGGATACTATTAATAATTGTCATTCCATGTCCCTCATCTCCCAAATCTTTTGGTCTGGGAGATTATTTAGCCTAACATCTTTTTCTTACAGCATGGCCTCATATTTCAACAACCATGGGTGGAGGGCATGTGGACAGATGGTCACTGAGTATCACAAAAACAAGCGGTGTAATAAAGAGTTCTTTTGCCTTTAAAGAATGATATTCCTGTGATTGAGCACCTCTTTCTGCCTTGCTGTCTTTTCCACGCACTCTGCTTCTGTTGGGGAGCGATGTGTGTGGTGCTGCCAGGTTCAGCTTGGACCAGACGATGGCAGTGGAGCCCCGCTAGACAGGGCCGTGAGGACACCCGGCTGCCCAGCGCCAAGCCAGGGCGCTCGCTCCAGCCTTCAGCTGAGGCTGCTGTGCTCGCCTCTGTGCTACGGCTTCTGAACTCTCAGATGGGCTCCCTTTTACCAATTTAAGTTAATAACATTCAGGAGAATCACATTTACCACCTTAAAATACAAGAGCTTTTTCAGTTGTGTCAGACTAAATGTCAGAGTAAAAATTTCTGGCCGTGCTACCTGAGCTAGCTAACCCTTCCTTCCTCCCTTCCTCCCTTCCTCCCTTCCTCCCTTCCTCCCTTCCTCCCTTCCTCCCTTCCTCCCTTCCTCCCTTCCTCCCTTCCTTCCTTCCTTCCTTCCTTCCTTCCTTCCTTCCTTCCTTCCTTCCTTCCTTCCTTCCTTCCTTCCTTCCTTCCTTCCTTCCTCCCTCCCTTCCCTCCCTTCC